AAAATAAAACTATGCATATTTATATTTATTGCATTTACAAATTATATCTTCTAAAATTGACTAATTTTTATTGAATTTTAATTATGCACCATAATAATTTTAAATTTTATATACAATATAATAAATTTGTACAATATTTTGAACCTTTTTTATCCGTTTTTACCATTCAAACATAAATTTTGAACCGCTAGATCCGCTTAATCCGCATTTGTACCGCTTGATCCGCTAGATATGCTTTTGTTCCAATAGATCCGCTTGATCTGCTAGATCCGCACTGTTTGGTACGTTTTCTCCATTCCGATTTTATATCTTAGTCCATTGGGCTTCTTTAATGAAAAATGTTTTGTCGAAAAAAATGGTACTATGTAAAAAAGGAAAAATACGACCTGAAAATGTCAAAGTTCATTCGAAACCGATCATTAGAAATTTATATAATCTACAGTCTAGAGGCAAAAACCTAATTTTCTCTCTAGCGAAGCCGCCACTGTCTCTGCATCCCAAATCGGATTTTCCAAGCTTGACCGGCGACGGGCGGCTAGCACAGCACCGTCGCCGGTTCCTCGTCTCATGTATTCCTAGTTTTGCTTTTAGTAGTTTATGTTTCGGTATGTCGTTAAATCTAGGGTCTTGGTTTGAGATCTTGAGATTCTGATTTAGTCTGATTCTTTAGGAGGAACTTTCAGATCTGGTTTTTTTTTGGATCTAGTCTTTCTAGCTCTAAATTTTATATTGAATTTGGGGTTCTTTCTTTAGATGTTTGCGTTTATCTTTATGTCTTTATGGTCTTGAGCATGTTTGGAGTGTTGCAGCGATTTGACTTTTTTAGGGCTTCAGTTTCAGTGGTTTTGTCTAGCCATTTAAGCTGATTTTCGGTGGTTTGAGACGGATTCTTGGTTCGCAGTTTTCGTTTCAAATCCTAGAGTTTGGGTGAGATTTTGCTGGTTCCGATTCTGTTTCGATGGGGTTTTGATTCTAGATCGGAGAGTTGGGGTTCGTCAATTCGGGACCCGAATGTATTGATCTTCATGATCTCTTGACGGTGCAGTATAGCTGCTCTTGCTACGCGTCGAGTTCCTTTCTTTAACTCTAGGTCTAGGTTTGTTATCTTCTTGTTCAGTGGTGATTGGTTGGTTTGTTTCTCGACCTGGGTTTTTGCGGTTTTGGTGGAGTGTCTTGTATCCTATTACCGGCCTGGTTTAGCCTCCCTCGCCTCTTGACACGTCTTATAAGCTTCCTCGTTTGTTCGTTCTTCCAAGTTTGCTTGTAAATGAGTAAGATTTTTAGGCTAAGCGTTGTATTCCTCCAGTATTTCTCTACAGCCTTGATTCTTTGTTGTGGAAGAGAATGGTTTCGGGGTTATACCTCGCCCAACTTTAAAGCTGGTGACCCTCTTCCTTCAGTCTCTTCAAGTGGTCAAGTCTCTTGCGTCTGCTTGGTTTTCTTCGGATTGCGGCCTGGGAGTCCGATGGGATAGCGTTTTGGCTCTAATTGTTCACTTTTTTTACAGTGATAGCTCGACTTTGTAATTGTTCTTTTCAAGTGTTGTTGTTTGGGGTTTATCTAAGTATCACTCTTTGTTGTTATCGAACAGCTGTAGAATGAATCAAAACTTTAGACGGAAAAAAAAGAAATTTGCATAATCTTAAAACGACGTCGAACAGAAACCCTAAAAACCTCCACTAAAACCCTCTCGATTATAAATTCTCCCAAAACTCATTTCACTTATTCTTCTTTACTTCGCAGCTCATAAACCCTAACTCCTCATTTCTTCAAACTTCTATTCCTCAATTGTCAGTGATGGAGTTCTGGGGTAAGAATCTTCTCCATTTCAGCCATTTAATCGATAGTTTTGTCTAAGGGTTTTTGGGTTTCCTCTAAATTTTATGTAAGATCAATACTTGCTTTTATGACATATTGGAGACTGTTGTTTAGGTTTCTCGGTTTAGGGTAATCTGTTTCCAACAATTAATCATGAGATTTTGATTAGATGTTAATCTCCTGCTACCTG